AACAGAGAGAGGATGGAGTCTTCTTTGTATTCATAAGTTTCCTATAGGAATTTTCCCCATTTTCCTAGGTAGAAATTTTCCTAAAGGATTTTCTTTTAACAAGCCTCATCTTCCCTAAAATTTCTTTTCCGAGAGTTTTCTCAAGGATTAACTATATTTGTAATCTAGAACTTAATTCCTGAATAGTTTCCCTTCTTTCATACTAAACATTTATATTCTCTCCAAAGCGATGTTTTATTATGGATTCTTTTTACTCTATCTGTACCTCATAGTGATTTAAGTTTTTTGCATAACATCTGTTTGCAGATTTAAATCCAGAATTTGTTGTATTCAGTTGCATCTAAAGCACGATGAAGAATATTAATGGTTTTGCAATTTACCAGCAATATCATTCCAATCAGCATCGGGTTAACCCTTCTTCTTCTGATTTTCTAATAACTCCATCTCTATAGTTTTCATCGGGATACGACGGACCAGCTGGATAAATTTTCAGCAGTTTACTATCAACTGATTAATGAATTTCCATTCTAGTTTTCTTAGTAAGAGTATTTGAGCCATTGAACAAAGGAGGTCTAGAAACAGATTGTCCTTCTACAAGAGAAGGGAAGTGGGTTGCCATGGGATTTATCTTTAAGCGGTTACGTTCGGTAGTCAAGAGCCAGGCTCTGATCAGATTGTGGGTCCCGATATATATGGCACAACCACAGAGGGGGGTGATTGGGATTTTCTAAAAATTGAAATAAATTTTTTTAGAAATTCTAAATAAGAATTAGAACTTCTAAGCACAGCGGAACACATGGACTTTGTGGATAAGAATATGGATTAGAAATATTCACATGTTCTAATTATAAAAGATAGAAAGGTCTGTGCGACAGTGCAGAGCTATTGATAGAACAGCTTCTCATGCACTTTATACACTATCGATTTTTTATGAAGGAAAGTTAATAGAAAGTGAAACTTTCCTCATACAAAGTTTGAGCAATCATATAGTTATGTGAAGGAACAGTTATTTGAATTTAGAACTTCTTCACAGAGCTTAATCAATATCAAGAACAACTTTAATGAATGGAGGCTATCAAGATAAGACGTCCCTCATAAGTTTAGAAAAATTAACTAGAAACCATCAGTGAAATATCTGGGAAAAAGACAACAGTTTAGACATTGTTATTACTTTACTAGAAAGACCAGGTTCTATGTTAGTAAAGAATAAAGCTTATTGCCGTTTTAGAACATCTGATCATTAAAGTATTAGCGTTTCAAAAAAATTTAAACAGAAGTGAAAAAGAAGTAACAAGCAACTTCAGAAATGAAAGATCAACAGAACAGCAGATTCTACTAGTGGGTTCAGCACTAACTCGCTACATCCACTCTCAAGAACAAGCATTTGAGATCCTCAACTATGTTATTCTATTTCAAGGGTAAGAGACAAACCAACAGTAAAGGCAAATAGATAAAAACCCTAGATCTACCTTTTGTCCCTAGATTTTCCAAAGGTTTTAAGTACATCAACCCTTTTCTGTTTTTGGGCAGAGTACGAAAACTCAATTCAAGACATATAACTATCCCACATGGAGGGAAGGTGCTTGATAACTCTATCTCAATAGCTTTCTAACCTGAGCTTATATACACACAAAAGTTTTCACAAATAAGAGTGTCTAACTATAGAATCAGATTTCTAAATAGACAGAGAGAAAGCCTATATAAGCAAAGGAAAAACAGTTTCTAAATCAGTTAGAAGCATCGATTAGAACAACAGAACTGTCTTTTCAACAGTAACTGTAAAAATTCCTTTTCTTATTTAATTGAAAACCGTTAAAGTTAGAGGATGAAAAGAAAAATGGGGGTAGAGTAAGTTTTGAAGAAAAGATTCGCATTCAATGAGAGAGAGTGGCTCTTAAAACAGAATACTTTAACTTACCAAAATGTTTACGGCGGTGAATGTCCTTTATATAGGAACAAAGGAGCTGTCACCTTTTTGGAAAGAGATCAGAATTTCTTTTTCTTATTTTTTAGAAAGATGTGAAAATTCTTTGTTACCAAAAATTGTTTTATATTGCTTTTTTGGTAAGAGAATAAAACCTGATTTTAACTTTCTTTAGAAAAGATTTTCGACAGCATTATATTTTGGAAAAGAATTATTTAGGCGGAAAGATGTTCTACTAAAAAACCGAAAGATCAATTCCTTTTCGTTTTTAGGTAAGAATATTTTAAGTACTTTAGGATCTTTAAAATATATTATCTGAACAAGTGAATGATTTATTACCAAAACATTAAGAAGAATTCTTTAGTTTTAAGGAAAATTAAATCTTTTTCGATTTAAAGGAATATTTTTGAAAATAAAATAAGGAATATTTTTCGAAAATAAAATAACATAAAGGGATTTATTTTGTGAAAATCCTATTTTTCGACATACTTTTGAGGAGAGAAAAAGATTTTTTGTGCTCCATCATATAAACTTTCTCTTATCCTCTACAAAGTTTCTAAATACTAGATACTAGGCATCTTCGAAATCTTCATTTCAATGTAGGCTTGCCTTGTATGCTTTCTTTCCAAAGAATGATTCTGGCATAAATACAACTTAGCCAAATATTAATTTAAATTTATTTGTTTTGTATTAATCATCCAAAATCTGAGATAAGCATTTTGACCTTGAGCCTACATTTTCTCTGTCCAGAACAGCTCTTACTCGCAACTGTCAGTGCCGTCGCACATAAAAGCTCGAAGGGTGACTCCAATTGGTGTGGGAATGAATGGTGCACGATGTAATTCCCCTTTTTTAATACTCGTTTAAGGAGCTAATACACTCTTTTTAAATAAAAGGAACTCTTTCAACAAGTAAATTCAACGAGGTTTTAGTTATTTTGGGAGAAATCTTTTAATGGATTCCTATAAAACAGCATGGCCAAGGGAAGTTCTCAATCCCCTTTACTGAGTTTGGAGAAGGTAGCTTCTCAATTACTATTCCATTGGGCCTTATCACACTTCATCCCTCTTGTGGAAATTTTGTGGACCAAAACAATTCCTTTCACTACATTGAAATAGGCATTTTTCCCCAGTTCAGAGCAAGGTTAAGTGTCTCAACATTTGGCTTAATAATGAAGGGTTATACGAGAACATGATAAATGAATGACTAACATAGAAAATCATCCATAACATCTTTTCTAATGAACTTTTCAACACATGTCAGAAAACAATAGACATCATGCTCTTTTGAAAGTTGCAGGCATGCATTGCATAAAACCGAAGGGCATTCTCCCTATATGCAAGGTACGTAGGACAAGTGAAGAGTGGTTTTTCTCTTGGTCCTCCGGAGTAATAGGTATCTGATACCGCTGAGTATCCCCTAGCAAACAATAGATATGGATAACTGAAGTCTTTCAAGCATTTGATCACAATGAATGGTAGGGAAAATGATCTTTACAGTTGTTGCTCTTTGTTATTCATTTTTCTGTAATCAATGCACACACGCCAACCTTGACAGTTCTTGTAGGGATTAAATTCATTATTTTCATTAGATCACTACTGTCATAACCTCCTTCTTTGGAACTCCTTGGATAGGGTCACGCCAACTGCTTCGAAAATTGGATAGTGACTTCCGGGTCCAAGAGTTAATTGATGATTTCAAGCCTTGGATTCTTCTTCATAGTTAGGATTTCTATCTTCATATGATGCTCAATAGAAAGGTTTGTTTCATTCAATTCCATCAGATTTTGGTGCTACCATTGCTTGGACTTATCCCCATGCAAGTCAAGAAATTGGTCATCCTAAAGCCTTTCTGATGTTTTTGCAACAGACCTGCGACCAACCTTTTTCTTGTCACATGTTAGGTGAGAGGCAAATATAACAGGGAAGAGTTATTCTCACCTAGAATGCATGCTTCAGATGGGGAGGGAAGCTGCTATCAAGTTTCTTGTATTTTGGTTGTGTACTTTCTTTTTCTTTTTTTCTCTGTATTATTACCATATCAATCTTGCTATATAAAGTGTTCTTTACCATTTATCAATTATATTATCCTAAAGCAACTCATCGTAGTCCATATGAAATTTACAAGATTTTAACACCTAAAAACAACTTCTTCTTGACTACCTCTCATGTTAGCTTTCCCCATCATGTACATCTATTAGAGCTCATTGCAGTTGCAAGAAAGGTCTTCCCAGGATCAATGACTCCTTCTCTTCCTTCATCATGTCAAGGATAACAAAATAACAGGAAATATAAATTTTCCAACTTTGACAAGTACGTCCTACTCATTCCTTGGGGTATTTGATTGATCGGTCGG